CTCTCCTCCAGATGGGTTGGTTCAACGATGATGTACGCCGCTCCCATACAGGCACAAGACTACTTAACCCAGCATCAGAGCGACGGTCTTCAGAACAAGAACTCCAGAAACTAAAGGTCCTAACACCTTTCAGAGCTGCATGTGAGTGACTCATTCCTAGGAATTGCGCAGCTGCTCTCCGATGACGTGGTTGCTGTAGGCCATCTTGAGCAGGTCAGCAAGCATGAACAGTTTCTTTTTGTAAGTATTGCGGAGGGTTCCTTCTTGCTTCCAGAAGGAGCATCTCACAAACCTCTCCTCCCAATGTGTTTATACTTTGGGCAGCGTCTACCAGCGTCCACTAGCGTTCCAACCGTCCGGTGCTCAGCGACTAGGAAAGTATAGATATCGATCTAGCGTCTGCCAGCGTTCACCAGCGACCGGGAGTAGAGAGTATGGGGAAGTAGGAGGGTAGCAAACAGCTGGATTAGGCGTCGTGAAATTGCGGCGTGTGCAACCGCACCACACAGCTGCTAGTGCACAGAAATATGCAATTTAATGTACGGTGTAACATAGTTGTGCGGTGCGGTTGCATACGTCACGATTCACGACGCCTAATCCAGCTGTTTGCCACCTCCTACTTCCCCATGCTCTCTACTCCCGGTCGCTGGCAGACGCTGTCGCAAAGTATGAATGCAGCCTTATCTTGTCACCCTGTGCCACATGAACTTTGATGGGGAGTATCCCGAAAGATTAACGCCAATACAGTCATATTTCAATGCACATAAACAGAACAATAAGAAGTTTATTTTTACAATAAAAATCTCCAATAGAAACTGGTAACAAGGAAGAATCAAGGAGAAGAGGAGGATGGATGATAAAGTGAGGATCGCATGCAGCCAGAGGTTCGTCAGGAGCATTTGCCTCATCTCGAAAGTATTGCTGAACCGGCATGCTAGTACAAATGTTCTAGAGTGCCCCACGTCTAACCCAACATCGTTTGTCAAAAACGAGCAGTGTTCGTGTATAGAAGGATCTGTCTGTGCCTTGGAAATAGAACGTTGAAATGGTGAAGAGTGGAAGAGAGCAATGTAATGAAATGAAGGGAAAGAATCACAGAAAAGATCTTACTGTGAACCGTATCAGAAGACTAAATCTACAAACAGGTGTATACGAGAATGAACCGAGTTTTCGCTGCAGCGCCAATCAGGACAATATTTTGCCCAAAAGAAGAGAGATGGAGAATGGTGGGGAGAACAATGCGTGAGTCAACCTAGACAAGAAGTAAAACGGTTGCTTTGAGAGGACAATTGAGGTACCTGGAGTACAGAGCCCGACGGAGACCGACGTCAACCCGCTGAACGTCAGTAGTACCTTTAATTGGCGCGAGGGAAAGAAAGCTGCCGTATAACGTCAAAGACGGAAATGTACGGGAAGCACCCAAATTTATGTGTTGTGCGAAGCCGCTCTCGCGCTAGAACCCAAAACTACCCCTGGGAACGTAGAACGAACGTTGCATTACGCAGTTGAGCACCCGAAATTCTGGGACCAATATCTTAGCTATTAAAAAACCGTTTTGAAAGAATGATCCCAGTCAGGAGCGAAAGAATGATCTCACATTGTGTTCACTATTCTAAACAGATAACACTATTCTCAAAATCTCAACAACATCTACGAAACTATAAAGGCGGGAACGGAAAACCCCCAACACCACAAGAATGATACAATTTCAAAGAAAGCAAAATATATGACTATGAAACTACGTCAGAGAAATGACGTTGATGAGTTAGTACCATAAGTATGACCAACGTTGACGGATGTTGGTTGATGAAGAGCAAAGAAAAAAAGAAGAAGAAGAACACTTTTAATGCAGGATGAGAGAACTAGGGCCAGCACAGGGGACGATAGCACGGAGATGTCCGGATGGAACGACGACTTCGAGATGACCACACGAGAGATTGGAGATAACAAAGGACGAGATAGAGGTATTGTACAGCGGAACCCATGACAGCAAGACCTGAAAACACACCCAAATTGCTGAATATCCCAAGCATATCGAACCTCCTTCAATTGATTTGTTCAATCTTTTAGCACATTCAAATTACTAGAATTGACTAATTCCGGTTCTCTTATCACTACTGAATAAACGGCACTATTTACCCTTTACTGCCCCAGTCATCCGAAATCAGGCCAGTTCCTGACCGACTTTTTTGGGCAGATTTTGCTCAAATGTTGTCTCCTGGGGTAGTTTGACCTCCAGAATACGAATATCACATTCGCTCAGCCCGAAACTTCCTGGCGCCCGCGCCACAGGCGCCAATGATTTGGGGTATTTTGGCGCCGGTGCCCGTGGTGCGGGCGCCAGGAGGTTTCGGGTTGAGCGGATGTGTGATATTCGTGTTCAGGGGGTCAAACTACCCCTGGGAGCAAGTTTTCAGCGAATTTGGTGATTTCGAGTATTTTGGCGCCGGCGCCAGTGGCGCAGGCGCC